ACTTCTGTGTAATATAATAGATAATAGTAGTTTATTAAATTTTCCCAAGAAAGTCTCGCAGAGTCTCAACACTCTTCCACGAGTCTCCCACATTGAGAGGTTTCACTAACTCCGTTTAAGGAATATTTCTGTGGTGGGCGGAAACAAGAGTAGGCAGAAAACAATTCACAACGCATATGTGTGGATAAAACTAAAAAATCCACACAGATGGGTTCATGAACCCACTTCCTGTCCTGGCGTCACCTGAGCACTTTGCAGCCCTGCAGGTTTTTGAGTATCATAGTACTCTGCGTGATCCACCAAACTTTACCTCCAAAGAGCTAGATCACGGACATGCACCACCACATCCAAGTTCCGTTTCCTCTTGTCGATGATTTCTTGTTCTGTTATTGTTCTTTGAATTTTAAATGTCTTATTAAATGTGCTTATTGGTCTTATCATGCAGACATCATTTACACCATTAGGACCGTGCATATCTCGGAGAGAGGAGAAGGCAAGTGGGCGATTTGTTTTATCACGTAATTAAAAACTATTTTACGGAGGGGGTAAATGGCACTATCGATAGCGAGAATGATAAATGAATATCTTTATATTTACACTTGTAATAAATAAAGGGTTCCCTCGAGGCAGTAAGGATGTGGCCTCCATTCTTTAGCGTCTCAGCTCTGCCTCGCTCAGGCAGGCTCTGGCTCTCGAGCGGTATCCATTCCAGGAATCGATGTGGCCAAAACCAATTTAGTCGATTCCTCGTTGGTATTTCGGTGACCCTATACACGAGAGGTGCACCTTAGGGGGTGAAAAAGAACCTGCCTATTTTGTTCCCCTCACCACTCCGAAAGGTTTAAACCGCTGTTGTACGTCGCAAGAGCGGTGTTGTCTAAATCTTAATGTTGTAAGTAAATATTTAGCAATAATGTTATATTCCTTTCATATACGTTTAGTGTGAGGGATGCTCATAATTGTTAAATAAAATGTCGGCATGGGTTAGTGATAACCAAATTGAATGCAACACGTAAGAATAGAAATCGGTGATGGGTGTTTTATCTGAAATAAAAAAACAACTGCTTTGAAAACGAATTTCTGATCTGGTACTCTTGGAAGGGAAACATTTTCTCCCATGGGAATGTTTAGCCGGGAATGCCACAACCCTGTGGGTGAAGTAATGCTGAATTGCCCAAAATGGCCATCAGTTCTATAACAAAATATGTTTTTCTATTACGTATTTATATTTAAAAGGCATCGGTGATTCCCACCCAATTTAACCTCAGTTTCGGCTATGGCTGGATCACCGTACAGAGCCAGCATGACACTATCGATGTCGAGTCAGCTGTGTCCCACTGTTAACCACTGCTCTGAATTGTACAGTTATAACTGGAAGTTTACGTTCCTGCTCAAGCCTCCCTCTTGTTTGCGTGGTCACATATTGATGAATTCACTCGGGATTCTGTCATTCCTTGTATTCCTTTAATCTTAATTGGGAACCGTTTTCATTGCATAATGATAACCCTTTGTCAGAACACTGCTGGACGAAGCCCCCCTCCCCATCCATCCATATGACGGAAGTTATTGTATGGGTGCCGCTGTGGTGAGCTATTATCTCCCTCGCCTGGTATGCAGGAAGTCGTGGGTTCCACCCCGACCCTGACGCTTGTATATTTGGATATTGTATGTTCTCCCCGTGGTCTTGTGGATTTTTCTCCTTATCCTCAGGTTTTTCCCTCCACATTTATAAACATGCCTTAAGAGTATTTTGCCGCTATAAATTTCCCCATGATAAGCCACTTCCTTGAGCTATCATTTGTGGTCAGGTCACTTCGGACAAAGAACTAATTGCTTAGTGGGCTTTACCTGGTAAAATAAAAATAATAGTTACATAGTCATGAGGGTTATTTGATGATACTTCACACTATTCACTTGTACTCTTCGTTGAAACAAAACTATTTTGGACATTTACCCATTGGATGCCTAACTGTAAATAATCAACATCTTGCCAATTGCAGGTTTAAAATAGCCGAATAGTGTGAGGATTATGATTAAGATTTTTTTTATTTGTAAATAAAAAAAAAACATTTGTTGTCCTATAGTTAATGCACACATTGTGAAAACCAAAAAAAAGTTTTAGTTTTTTTTAGTTTTTTCAAAATGATGTGGACTGGCTCAGTTCTCCAGGGACGCTAATGAGGGTATTCGCTATTCTGCGTTTCTCCATGTATTCTTTTTATTTCATTCCACGCGTTCTTTTGTTTGAAATAATACAAAAAAACCCATCTTGTGAATTATTTGACCGCAATGGGTACGAGTCACAGCTCATCAAGTTGGCGCGATCCTTATTTAAATTTCCCCCCTTTTCCAAAAAACGAGTCCGGAGTAGTAAATAAATAGAAAATAATAGGGCAGTCGTGACGGGCGAGCGGAAGAGCGACGAGTGGGGACAGCGAGTTGACGTTATAATGGGCTGCGTCGGCTAATGCATCAATGGGTGGAGCGTCCCAACATTTTTGTCGACCCTCTGTACGTGCGGTGTGTGCGCGGTGTGCGCGGCTCAAAGCGCAATACGTGCCGTTAAATCGCGCTGACAGCATGACACACATAATGACAGACGTTAACTTGCTCGTATTGATCTTCCCTCACTTTGACGGCGAACACATAACAAGGCGTTTTTTGATGAGATTACAAGGTGTGGGGGGGGGGGGCAGGGGGAGTGTGTGGTAAAGGGGTGGGGGGGGGTGCGGGAGAGGGGGCTGTGGGGGCATGGGAGGGGGCACAGCAATCGCACGTTCACGCTTGTTCTTTGTGACATCTCTCTGTCTCTCGCTGTATATTTTTTTTTGGTACAAATTTTCCTCCGTTTCCCTCCCACTTAGGCGTCCCCCCCTACCTCCTGCTCCCTCACCATCCCAATCCTACCCCATCCCTCGGGCTCCTCTGTTAGTTCTCGCATCTTTTCTTCTCGCGGCATGACCAAAGGTGAGACTGGGAAATTTGCCTGCGATGGACTGCTTAACAAACATTTATGTTGGAAGCAGGGCCGAGGCAGGAGGCAATTACACGACATGCGATCTTTGATTCTCCGTGGTGGGTGTCGGCATACCGATTTGCTTTGTGGACATTTTATTTTTGATCATTTCCTGGTTTTGGGTTATTTGTGCTGGGGGGTTGGGGGAGGGGTTGTGGATATGGAGGAGAGTTTTATTTATTTTATTCCTTGTGCCTTGTTTTTAATTATTTCCTCAAATCGAAGCCGCTACCAAGGCATTTTGTAAAACGCTGTTATTTGTAATGAAACAGCGGGCCAGGGGCATGTACCTTTCTCTCTGCTAAAAAAAAAGAAAGAAAAAAAAGGACTGAGAAAATTAACGAAGGAGCGGAGGCTAATCGAGTTGAAAATTTCATGCATTACGCACGCGGGCGCGGCGCGTGTTTTGGCCATGGTCGGACGGGGGCATAAATAAAACAACGGGCGGAGGTAATGGACCAGGGTTGGTGGAGCGCACGGGGGCCCTGACATTTAAGCAACAGCGTTTTAATTTGTTGCTTCGTTTGGCGGCACGGGCGCCGAGGTCAGCACGGGTCTGACCTACTCCCCCCCCCTTGCACCCACCCCCTACTACCCCGCATCCTCCCACACCGATGCGTGGCCGTTTATTAAACACCGAGCAGCGGGTCAGCTAGGAAAAGGGCAGCACAGTAGCAGTCGTGCCGTTTGCCAACTGAATTCCTACCACCTGCCAGCAAGGTGGAAGAAGATATAGCACAAGGTTTTTTTGTTTGTTGTATACGTGTTGAAATTTCATGTTTGTGATAAAGTGGGGTTTTGAGAGGCATCCGTGGGTAGGTTTTTTTTTTTGACTCTCATTGGAGGAAATATAAATAGGTACATTTGCCCTTTCATATTTGTATTGTGTTTTGTATTTATTTGTTGAGCAATGTCATAATCTTATTCGTTAACAATATGGTTTTCCATGCCGAGCGATGTGACTGATTGTCGGCATTGTCGTCAGCGAGCAGGGACGCGCGTCAAACCTCCATCTCAACTTTGGTGAAAAGGTAGCGGGCAGTATTTTGTCCCTAATTAACACGTTTTCGCAATATTTAATTTTTTACTGCGGCATATTTTTATTTACCTCGTAAAAAGATGCTGAATTTCAAAGGTGGGTTTTGATCACCTCTGACACCGGCAGTCGATGCTAAACAAGGAGAGAGAAGCGGCGAACGGGGGGGGGGGGGTCAGAGCCGCCCTTTGATTGCACGACGAAAGCCCCCCGTTTAGATTCGCCGTGCTGTGTGTGTGTGTGTTTTTTTTTTAACGTGTGTCCGTGCCGCCGGCCAGCCTCCGATAACCTCGCGTGGTCTCTTCCTGTGTTAAGTGGCGAGCCACGAGCACCGCTCCTCTTTTGATTACGCCGTAGGGTTCACCTCTCGGGCGCCGTGAGTCTCTGGAGAAAATGCTTGGCTTGTTTATTTATTTACTTATTTTGGCCCTTTTAGCCCCGTTTTTTTGTCCTCCCCCTTGACTTTCAAGATCAGTTGTACTTGCTCACACTGCCCCAATTCCATCCCCTCCTTCCCCCGATGTGATAAATAATTAAATGGAAAATAGAGTAAACTGAATTTGTTATGTTGTGTGCCTCAGATATATTTGATACATTAAATGCAGGCACCCACATATTCTTCAGTCAGTAGCATCCTTGTCACCTGTGTTCTGTACACATATGCTGTTGGCCAACCTCTGACACTGCTGGAATGGCATTTTTACACTATCACTTATCACACTGAATGCAAAGCGGAATATAATTCGTGACGTGCATAATTTTCGTGTGTGCATCTTCTGAAGATACGTTCGTGACACACGCCGGTGCACACAATAAGTGGACCACCGGTGACGTGGCGGTGTTTTTTGTTTGTTGTATATTTATTTTTTTGTTTCACAATATTTGAAGGTGTGTTTTAACACTGCATCTCCCATCCCCCGACCCCCCACCCACACCCCACTATTGCAGATCCAGAGGAGACGTTTGAGTTTGTGCTGGTGTCGCTGTCGGGACAAACTTGGCACTTTGAGGCCCCCAGCTGGGAGGAGCGAGACGCCTGGGTTCAGGCCATCGAAGGCCGCATCCTCGCCAGCCTGCAGTCCTGTGACAGCCGCAAGACGAAGGTCGGGCCCGAAACGATGAGACCATTCGAGCAGACGATGCCTTGCTCAGCAATGCCTATCTTCCATTGGTATCGTTTGTCCCCAGGTCTCCCTCGCTGCGGGGAGGGATGCGTCACCTTAATTTGTCCACGCGGGTGGCGCTGATTTGAATCGTAATCAGAAGGTTGAGAGTTCAAATCCAGGTTGGGGGTCGACTCGCACGATTATGTCTCTGAGGTCGTGAAAATGTGCTCGTTTGAGGTGGCCGGCTGGCTCAGGAGTCACAGCACTGAATCGGCACCGTTGAGATTCTGGATTCGAGTCCGGGTTTCAGTCGCCCGTGATTAAACCATGTTCTCAGCTGTACTGATCTGATCTCAGCTTGGTCACTGATGACTGCATAACAAAAATTAAGTTAAAATTTTCACTGAAGTTGACAAAAAAGCCCAAAATCAGTTTGACTACGATAATTTGAACGTGTCTATTGAAATAAAGTGTCACGTCCTTAATATGGATAAATAAGTCACTGGAAGAAACATGCGTTTCGAGTATTTGGCTGATATATATTTCCACGTGATAAGCCATTGCGTTGAGCTATCATTTGTAGCCAAGTCACTTCTGAAAACACAGCTATCTAGCCCAGTGGACCTTACCTGGCAAAATAAAAAGTTTAGTTCTGATATCCTGTTTCACAGGCCGTTCTCCAGCAGGGTTGATGCATCCTTTCAGAGTTCTGAAAGGATGCTTCGTCTCAAGGCACAACACCGAGAGCGCAATTGTGGGGAAATACTACATTATAAATAGAGTACCTTTTTGTGCGAAGTGAACAGTGGCTGTCCCGTGGAGAGACTGGTTCTCACAAAGGAATGTGGAATTTCCACCACTGAATTAGGACATCCGGTGGTGGTAAGCACTGCCGCGTGCTCATTTGAGCACGGAGAGGCTTCTTGTTTTAAATAAAGGATATCAATCCTGTTTTAAAGGATCGGTGGTTTTTAACCTTTTCAGGCACCGGCCATAAATCACCGAGAGACTTCAGAGTGTGGTGACCGTGAAAACTGAAAACTCGCCACACGTTTAGCACCGAGCACAGTTACGTCGGCCCGCAATGTTGTGAATCCCTGCTCCAGAACCTCACGGAAGTTGCTTCCAACTCCACGCATCGCCTAGCTCGGCCACGGTTCAGGGTGCTGTGCCACTCGGCTCAAAAACAGGTTCTCGCAGGTCACCATCGGTCAGCCTGAGGGTTATGCTCAGCTTTACAATCCACGGCGTGAACACTTTTACTCAAATTACCCTCGCAGGCTCGGTATAAATGAGCCGTTCGAAAGTACAGCCACTCTTGGCACACCGTATGTCACCTGACCACGACGCTGCACCTGCGAGTGGATTGAACGTCAAACGCTAGGGTCGGTAGGGGAGGGGTGGTGGCCACCACTGCTGCTACCATTGTTCAATGATTAGTGGTACCTCTTTTGACAGATCGATTTCATGCCACGGGGTCGTGTCATGCTCGATGTACCGAGTATTTGCCGTCCCGCGGGGACGCGGGCGGTGGCATAGCAATGCCGCTGCGAGCGCCGCCAACTTCCGGGTAGATGTCACCAGAATTCAGTGGTAGATAACAACTTAGATAACAACATAACCACGCCGTATTTATGCGGCGCCTTTCCAGACCAAGGCATCACAAAGTTCTTAACAATACAATTGAAATGTATATAAACTATTAAATAAGACACACTGGAGATGAAATCAACCAATATAAACACATGTCATTGCTCATATAGTGCACGTTAGTAAAAACCTTATTGAAGATGTATGTACTTGGGCGTGATTTACAAATGGACCCTCAACCGAGGGCAGTGAGGCTTTCCAAAAGTCAGGAGCGGCGTATGGATATGCGTTTTTAACTGCAGATGTCTTAATAGTCAAGCGTGTGAACGAAGTTAATGACTTTCGATGTGGAGACAGGAGTTCAGTCAGGTAAGAGTTAAAAGCGGACCCTTAAAATCCAGCGAACTGGGATCTAAGGTAGTGAGGCCAGATCTCCGATTGCAGGGAATGAATCTGGTTTGAATGGCATTTGTCGGCCCTGTCTCTTGGCTCTTGAAGTATGGCCAATTTTTAAAATAATTTGTCCATTCTTGCAGACGCGGCTGGGGAGCCAAGGCAGTGCGGTGGCAGCGCAGAACATCCGCGACGTGCAAGGGAACGACGTCTGCATCGACTGCGGTGCCCCCAGTGAGTGCCGCCTGACCCCCGCGCGGAATATTTGCTCGACTCTTACGAGCACAGTAATGTGCTGTGTTATCAAGAGGCCGGCAAGGGTCCATCCTGCCAGCGGAGTCGATGAATAGTCACGATTATAATCCGCAATTCAAGAATCGCTTGAATATAAATTTTGTGTCGTTTTTACCACGTCATTGCGGTTGTTTTTCAAATGTTATGCCTCTTCTATACAGTTTTGTTTGCTGCAATAACCAATATATAACAGCTTGAATTTTGCATTTCACACAAACAACTGATCCCCACATGCAAGATTTTGGCGCATAAATACTGAAAGTAAGAATCGATTATAATAAATTAATCTCTGCATTGTGACGTGCCTAAATACTAGCTATGATTCATGTCAGGATTCAACTTACAGCATTGTTTCTCTGGGTTGATCAAATAAGTCCTGATTTGTGGGGAGTCAGGAGCTATTGTGCTGTTGTTAAGTACATGAATACATCTATATGCTAAATAGCAAAATGAATCACTTGCCAGTGTAGATTTACAGCCAGAATACTCGTTTTGGTTGAGCCTTCTAAGTTTAAACTCTTTCCCCCTTGATAAATTCCCTTCTTTTTTGTGCTCTACCCTTAGTTCCAAACGTTCATTTGGTCCAAATGAGAAACTCACCCAAATGCATTTCGGTGAAAACTTCTCGAGTGGAAATTGCATCGTTTTTTTGCGAGGGTCTTGTTTTCTACACAGTTGTGTTCGGCCGCTCAAATGGTGAGTTTTTGCCGGCCTCTGTAATGGTTTCATGTTGAACAAAACAAAAATTAACAGCCACCGTATTTCTGCCTACAGCGATCCGCAGCGCAAGGCATTGCCTGCTTTGCCCCTTCCAGGCCGTTTTCAAATCGCTGTTTCGTAGCCCGCTGTGTGCTGGCGTGGAATGAAGTGGTTTAGTTTGGTGAATTCACGTGCAGCTGTGCACTATCGCAATTTAATAGACCATCTCCCGGTTGAAACGGAGGACATTTTCCATCAAGAGGAGCCCTTTTTGTGATTTGACTTTTTGTTCAACCGCCTTAATAACGGCACGGAGAGATGTACACAGGAACATGTCTTGCTTTCATTGAAAGCAACATTTTTTTATTCGCCAAAATTGTTCCTGTGATACCATGTTTTGTTTGTTTTAAGCCTTTACCTTCTTTGTTATAATTGAGACCAAATAAAAGCGGAGTGTAAAAAAAAACACCTAAAAAAACTAAAGCCAGCCGGCAGTGTTTTTAATTTAAACTTTTTAAAACGGAACATTTGAAATAAAATAGCACGGTTAAGTTTTTGTTTTAGTTGTCCCCCCCGCCCCCCCCCCCCCCCCCCACTCGATGGACGCGTGCGTTGGGTCTGGCGGTCGGTCTGCACGGCTGCGTAAAAAGGTCATCGCGACTGCGCGCGTGCGTTCTCCCGGCTGCGCGTGGCGTCGCGGCCAATGCCGCAACTGCCGCCACAATTTCATGCACCGAATGCTTACATCATTACTTATTTTTTGGGTGAAGGTTGAGGGGTCTCGACCCACCTTTAAATTGGGCCCTTGTACATTAAACGTGTCGCGCTATATTGCCACAAATGTTACCGCCACAATATGGGTTTGTGTCAACCGTGGCCGACAAAAATGAATGAATATCCACTCATATTACAAAAGGTCTGAATGAGTGGAGCCGTTTTTGAAAGTGGATTTTTCAATTTCACTCCATGATCTGTAAGCGGGAAGTGAAGTGGTTGTCCCTCAATTCCAGAAACCAAAAAGTTTTATGCACACGTTGCAGTAAAAAAAAAAATCACTTTTGGTTCTTATAAATATTGTTCAGCTTGTTTTGACTTTAATTTTATGGTTCTTGAATAAAATAAAATCGTGGTTTTCATTCCAAGCAACTTGGGAGTTTGTATCGGTGTGATGGCCTTTTCATGGCTTAAATCCAACTTTCCCCAAATATGTTGCTTGAGAAATGGAAGGCTTTCAATTCCAATGATCTTTGCAACCTTTCACTCATAGCGCAAGCTCCTGTTTAAGGAATCACTCTGTCAGTCACCCAGAAGGGTTCATCTGTTTCCGTGTTTATTGTAAAGTGCTTCTGTGTTGTAATTTTTTGCGGATGTGTTTATTCTGGCATTATCCAATTTAGTTGTCGGCCTTGCAGCGCTACGGTTGATAATGCTCACGATAGACTCAGTCTTCGCTGGGCGCATTCAGTTTGACCCAGAGGTGGGAAACCTTTTCTTTAGCCAGGGAATATTGGGAATTTGATACACTTTTCATGGACAACGCATTAACACGCAACCTTAGCATTTTCAAATATTAACGTGAAAAATAACAATGGCTCACCTCTACCGCACGTACGCGATGCATGCATCTGATTTCCTCTCACTGACATTGTTGATGTCGCTTCACAGTTCTAAAGTAGGCACACAGCGATGATTGCTTGCGGTGATGGCTGAACTCAATTGTTGGGCCTTTCGAAGTGATAGGCCACATCCAGCCTGATTTTTGTTCCAACAGATATGACACCATTAAATGTGTTGCTTATACCCAGGAGTATTACCGACTGATTGTTTATGCCACTTTATCGTAGCTATACAATGTACAGAGCAAAAATTATATTTTAAATGTCTATGTATTAATTAGACCACTTTTAGTTAACCATGTTAACCACGTTCAGTTACCCATGTACAAAATGTTCATTGTCAATTATTGTAATTTCATCAGGCACATTCGACTTGTTGTCCACATTATTCATGGTACTTTAACATTTTTTGGTATAAATTCATCCCTCAAAGAACACAATTAAATGAAGCTTTTTTTTGTTCTATCTTACGTTTAAAATTTGCTGTTAACTCTCACACCCTCTCTCTCGTCCGCGCCCCTTCCCTCCCCCCGTGCGTCTACCCTTTTAGACCCCGACTGGGCGAGCCTCAACCTGGGCGCCCTCATCTGCATCGAATGCTCGGGCATCCACCGCAACCTGGGCTCGCACGTATCGCGCGTTCGCTCGCTCGACCTGGACGAGTGGCCCGACGAGCTGGCGCAGGTCATGGTGTCGGTGGGGAACGCCATGTCGCGCGGCGTGTGGGAGGGCTCCCTCGCCGGACATGCCAAGCCAGGCCCGCGCAGCTCACGGTGCGCTCCGCCGCGCCGGTCTTTCTCGCTCGCGCGCGGGACGGCGTCGCGTGGTTTCGTGTCGCGTGCGACGGTTTCGCCTGCGACCGATTCGGTTCGCGCGGCGGTTACCGCCGCGCGGCGGTGTCGTTGTTGCGCGACGTCAGGCCTGGTGTGCGAGCGGCCTCCGTTGTGGGACTGGTTTTTCTGCGCACATAGAGCACCGCGCAGGAAACGAATGCTGCAGGGCATGACCGTTATACTTGGTTCTCTTTGTAATTGTTCTTTACATTGAGTATCCAGTTCACTTGCCGAGCTGTGAAAGCCAGGAGTCTCAACTTACCCTCTTGCCTCTCTAAATTAAGTCTTTACAGGGAGCTGAGCTGCTATCGTGACTTGTGTGACCAACATGTTGGTCTTTGTCAGACATGGTCATTTTATTTCTTTGCAGCTGTGCAGATGATAGGATAGAAGGTCCTTGTAATAACCAACTTAGTAGTAACTAGAGTTGCAGTAGTAAATGAGTGTGCATATGATTACAATGCACTACAAGATGCTGAATGAACAAGATGGTGTTTTGTGAGCTCACATTGCGTTTGTGTTAAATGTTTTACAAATGTATGTATTGCATGCGTCGAAGACACGCATCATATTTACAGAAGCATTTTTATGCAAATGTTGCAGCCGAATGTTATTTGCGTTGCGTGCGCAAATGTGGCTCATGCCGTTAAGCAGTTCAATCCAGAGGCGGTGTTTTCCCGGCGCTGCTTTGCTGGGTCGAGCGCGATGCGAGCTCGGCTGGACTGCCTATGCCCCCGGCAAAGCCACTGATAGTGGCCACCGCCACGGGTCCCCACGGTGAACGCTTTTTTTTTAAGGCAGACGGCTCACGCTAGCGTGCGTTGTGTCACGATTCGAACCGGCTTGGTTTTGTTTCTGCGGCACTGGGAAGTAGAAAGCGTAAACTTGGGATGCCACCCCGTAGCAAGGTGGCGGGGCTCTGGGGCCTGCGTCGTCAGTAGCGGCGGTAGCGGCAGCGTCAGCGGAGCGGGCGCCCTCCTCGGAGGATCGCTTTTCACAATTATGTGCCTGACTGGCAGGCGACAAGCAGTGTTAGTGAAATGGCTTTCGAAAGCCTTCCAAATAAAGCCATCGCTTCCTAAACTGGGGGCTTAAGCCGGCAATCTGCAAATCGCTGCGCTGCGTCTGATGCTCTTTACAAGCTGTCGTGGCGCTGGGCCGCTTGAAGGCAGCTTGAAACCGGAGCCTGGAGCTGCGAAGGGGCTCAGGGGAGTCCTCGAGAGGGGGAGCAGCGGTCTCGTGCGCGCCGAGCGCCATCCCAGGCCAGCTGCCGCCCGGCCTGCGCCCGGCTCTTCCTTCCCCTCTTGCTGCCTCCCAGGAGGCTCCTCTGCACTGAGGGCTCGCTGATGGGGGTCCACTGCTCCGGCGGCGGCGGGCGCACCTTGCATAGTCGCGGCAGTTACACGGATACAAAAGTATAATTAGCAACGTTATGACGGTGTTCTGGCCGGCCCTATAGGGGCGGGTTTGGGGAGCAGCGGGCCTGTGCAGAGTAGTTTGTGGTGGTGGGAGAGCATTAGTGTGTTGTTTGTGTGGTTTCTTATCCGACAGCAGATGGTGTATTCACATTTGTAAGAATTTCAGGTGTACGCCTGTTGAGGTTTATTTTGTTCTTTTTAAGTTAAATTCACTTGAAAATAATTCTCCACAGGAAGACATTCTCCCGTGATAGCGGCAGTCCCCCATCAAAAACTAGAAGCAGACAAGCTTCAGGAAGACAAGTCTCGACTCACTAAATTACAACTCATATCTTATCGTTGCAAACTCGGTCAAGTACTGGCACATCCTTTGCAAAACTTGGTCATTGGCTGTTTAAAAAAGAGATGCAGAATTGTTGTTATTTGTTCTCAATTTCCCAACTTTTGGGGGGAATAACAGAAATGCTGTTTACTTTTATATTTGTTAACAAATGCATTTTAACTCGTAAAACGAATTTAACACGAAGAGACCCGTACTAATACCAGCGATCTACAATGCTTCTTGTATCAGAAAAGGCAAATGCGTAGATAAATATAATAATTTGTAACTCTTTGTGAATGCAATGCTTGATGAAGGGCAGGGTTGGAGGGGGGGGGGAAATGATGTAAGCTGGGAATCAAACTCAGTTCACCGAGTTCACAGTGCAGTGCGTGAACCACTGCATCACTATCACACTGGCTTCATGTAGGGGACTTTTACTGAAGCCTTCTCAATTACGCTCCCTTCGAAGCTGGTGAAAAGATAAAGTGGCCTGTAATGAGTAAGGATTCCTTGTGGGGGGGGGGGGGTTTAGCCTCTGTGTGATTTGCACGACTCAAAAAATCAGCCAGTTGTTTATTTGGGATGCGGCATTTGGTGTGGGCCATGCAGCCTGGAATGTCCCACTTTCCTGCCTTCCAGGATGCCTCACTCATCAGTTATTTACGAAGTGCTCTGTCTCACTCCTCCACCCCAATCCTTCCTCACCCCTCTGTTAATTATTTACCCAGCCCCCGTGCTAATTAAAATGTCACATCTCTCCGCACTCCCCTCCAAATCTCCCACTCTCGCTGTGGGATAACTACAGGGCAAGAATTCGCGCTCGCTCAAACGAACGGAGCCCAAAGTTAAAGTACGGAGGGAAACGTGGGATTAAAACTATATATACAACAATATTAACAATTGTGGCACGGCAGAAATGGATATTTAGATGTTTAATAGTGAGAACGGTCTGCCGTGCAGCTTCTGCCATTTCGACAGACAACCCGGTGCGTTGGGAAATGGTCTCAGCGTGATTGTTCCATTTATCTGGGTCCTTGTGAGGAGGTGGCACGTCTTTCAGTTGCATAAGTAGCAGAGACAGCATTTGTCTGAGATCCCCACTTGACCTCCTTAAGCGAAGGGCCTTGCGGGTTTCACATTACGCAGCGGTGTGATAATTACCGGCTGGTTTGTTATCGACAGCACGTTGAAGAGTGGGGTGGTGGTGGGGGGGGGGCTTCGGGTGGGTGAGTGAGGGTGAGTGGGGGTGGGTGGGGGTGGGTGGGGGTGGGTGGGACGGGCAGGCTGTGGGAGGCGACCATGCGGCGGCGGTGGTGGGGCTGGCGATAGTCCTGGTTGGAGCTGGCCGAGAGGAGGAGGCCGACGAGCCGGTGCCCCCTTGTGCCGGGTCGAGCCGCTCCTCGCGCCGTGTCCCCCTTGCCCATTCCAGCGCCCGCACCCTCGCTCGCTCGCTCCCCACGCCGGCGCTGTCGTGTTCAATTCGCAAGGAGCAGCAGAATCTACGGGCGTCTGGGACAGTTCGTGCATTTCGCACTTGAGTTGTAGCTGCGGCGTGATGAAGCCGAGCTGGGTGGCCTGTGTGCCAGGGGATTGCAGGAGGGGGATAAATGCGTTGGGTGGGGGGGGGGGGGCCTTTGGGAGAGTTGAGGAAAGCTCAGGGGCTGAGGGGGGTGGGCAGGAGAGAGAGAAGGGCTGAGGGAGGGGGCGGGCATGTCGACGAGAGTAGGCAGTGGTAAAAATTGCATCGCAGATAAATTTGCGTCTCCACCTCCACACCCCCACCTCGGAAGCACCCCCGAAGTGGGTAATAGATTCTGAAATTTCATTTTGCGACTGGCTGATTTAATGATCCGAGGGGTAATTAATGGGCTGATTACCTTAATGTTAAATATGTCCGGCAGCGATCTGGACGACCTCTTGCGTGTCGAGGTCCCCGGCGAACGCGCCGTTCAATTAAAGTCCCCTCCAGGGCAGGACGGAATGACTGAAGCGGCGACACCGGCAACGGTAATAAAACATAACGCCGGGGCCCCCATTTCCCCGGCACGCCGGCAAAGCGTAGCGCGGCGGTAATAGCGGGCAAATCATTTGCTGTTTCACGCCCGCCGGCCATGGCTGATCCATTACAGCCGCGGAGAGATCGCACTGTAGCACCGTCATTATTTTTACGTGCTATTAATTATCGAAAGAATGTCACGATTCCTCAGTTCATTTCTTGTGCGCAGACCTCAAACCTCCCCCCTCCCCTGATGGACCTAATTAATTGCGAGGAATTCGCGACATTACAGCGTTGCTAATTTGCCTGCCCTGCCGTCTTTTCCACGGCAAGTTTGCTTCATCAGCCTTTTGTAGCAGGGCTGGGGCCCATCCAGTGAATCCCCCCCCCGCCCCTCGCCCCCACCTCACAGACACTCTCCTCCAGCTCCCGCATGAGGTGGACAAAATTGAGCTTTAATCTTAATTTCCCTCTCTGGCTGAAATTAAGTGCAAAGTGCGCACATCCTTGGTCCGAACGCAGAGCGGTAATTTGTAGCTCAGCTTTGAGTGCGAGTTAGAGCCAACTTAATTCAGAACGTCTTTAGTTTTTTGTGTGTTTGTGTGCCGGTTAAGGTTCGCTGTCACCCGTAATGAATTTTAACTCGTTCTTGCATTGCTCGGGTTAAGTGCTCGGCACGTCTGATTTTGAAAGCCAGGCAGGCATATTGCTTTTGCGGTTTCACACACGCAAGTAAAAATGATTAAAGCAGACGCTAATTTAATTGCCCCATTGATTTGCATAAAACAGAAAATAATTACAACTGCAATGTAGCCTGCAAATCATCCACCACCCTTCGAACTGATGTTTTTTTTTAAATAACAGAATTTATTTCCGGGAGAAATAGCTGTCATAATTTATAATTAGTGTCCCAAGCCTGTCATCTCTAATTGATTCTAATATCAGGTCCTCTCTGCGACGGTAGTGCTCATTGATTATGCATTAAATCAGATGTGAAATTTAAACAAGATGATCCCAACAGTGACTAAGCGCATTATTATTACTACTACTACAGTGACGTAGAAGCTCATTTCGACAAATTACAAGCGCTGAGCACAAAACTGGTTTGATTATTCTTCAACAGCAGACAAGCCAGAAGCAACAACAACATCAAATGCCACAACAACAACCCAGGCAACAACTGCATGACCTCAAGTACCTGCAT